TATAATAAGTAGTTCCAAGTAAGTGTTCAACATTACTTGGCAGTCCTACTTCTCAGGCCAAGTGGCTCTCCCATTCTCCCATAATTATTTCATATCTTTTTCACTCACATCAAGTTCTTACTCTCTTCTACTTTCAGTGGTTGTCTGAGTTCCTCCTTTACAGAGAAGCCACCACACAAAAATGCCCTCAACCCCTCAAATTCTGCTCTCATCTCTCCTTCCCTATAATTATAAAAGCTGTCTTTTTCAATGTCATTCTTTCTACATCTACTTTGGATTTCATCTTCATTTAGAATCCTTATCCCTCTCTTTCTCTAGACTATTCAGCTTTCCCATCAACTGGATGCTTTTCATTGGCTTATAAACATGTTCAAGTTTATTTTTTTTAATTTGAAAAAAGAAAAAAGAATCCCTTAAACCTAACACTCCCCCTTTCAGCTACCACCCAGTCACACTAATTTTTTATGTTTCTTTCTACCTTTTCTTTCCCCCAACAAACCTAAATGTAGAGAAAGATAATGGAGATGGAAGAAAATTGTTTAGAACAAGAGAAACCTGAAACAAAAATCAACAACACCTAGCCGTGGACTGCAATGGAGGGACGAGGGAATTCAGAGGGACTGATTGCTCTAGTTCTGCAGTCTCGGGCCACTCACTCATCTCATCCCTGTAAAAGAGCAGTAACACCACCAAACCTGCCTCTCAGAACTGTGTGTAAATCAGAAAAATCCTCCTCAACTTAAAATGGGTTACATTCCAAGAAATATCATTTAGTTTGAAAATATTAGTAAGTAAAAAATGTATTTAATAATGCATTCAAAAGACACTGGCAACACAGGCCACCATGTCTACTTTTGTTTGCTTGATCTAGCGGCTGACCAGGAGCTGCAGCTTGCTGCCACTGCCCAGCATCGTACCTCACACTGCTAGAACCCAGTGCCTACTGGCTGTACACTGTTTTCTCACCATCATAAATTTGAACCATCTGCATATGAAAAAGATTTAGCACAGAGCCTGTCCCAGAGTAATAAATGAACAAGCAATATAGTTATTGCTAATAATATCTTACATCCATCAATCTACCCAGTCAGCTGCACAAGAGTGCCATCTTGGAACAGCCTGAATTTCCTTATCCCTCTATTACAACCCACCACTAGATTTTGTTGATTTTTGTTTCAGGTTTCTCTTGCTCTAACCAACATCTTCCATTTCCACTGTCCTAGTCTACATTCTCATCATTTCACATGGATCACGGTAAGTATCCCCTAAATGACTTATTGCATTCCTGTTATTCTCCCAAATCCTCTACCTATACACACACACATACATACACACATACAAACGGTCTAGTCAGAATGAACTATCTGAGGTTACTATCAAGTTTAAAATACTTGCCATTATTATGATAATGTCCCCCACATCTATTTATTTTGTAGGTAAAATCATGTAGATATGGTCCCTACCTATCTATTACCTACATACTCAAACTTACAACTCATTTATTTTGTCCTCTGCTCTCATAATTCCAACTTCCTCTCACATGAATTACGCACTTGCTCATTACAGGTGCTTTCCACTTCCTGTTCTCCACTAGTATGCTGAATGATATGCCTATTTCTTTTAGCCTAATTAATTCCTTCCCATCTTCATATCTCAATCTTATATCTAAACTCTACGGTCACTTCCTTAAGGAAGCCTTACCTTGATGCCCTCAAAGAGGCCTTCAAAACTCTATCTGCTTTTCATAACACTCATCAAAGTTGTAATTTTACATTATTGTGATTATTCCCCTAAGAAATTACCCAAATAAAATCCACACTCAGTAAAAGCTATAATTATGTGTTTCCTTACTACCATATCCCAAGAGCATGTAATTTGTGCTCAATAAATATACACTGGATCAATATTAAACTTCCAGTTCAATGATGCAAAATAGACTCACTGCTGATTTAAGAACAGAATGGTTTTATAGCAATACAAGGAGAGTAAATTATCATTTCATTATGAACATGGCTCTAGATCAAAGTTAAAGTTTCTCTACTGACAGCTGCAAGTAAATCTCTTTATAAAAAGAGATACTGATTCAGGGATTATGCTGAGTGATAGGCTGAGGGAAAGGAGGATATAAAAGGTATAATGTTCTACTGTTCGTTTTAAAAAGGGGTGAACTGGCAGATAATTGTGATAAGAGGTGAGTTTCTTTTAGATAGTCTTAATTTTTGTTTTACTCCAACACACCTCACCTCTGCCTCCTCCTCCTCCTATTACTACAACTACTTTATCCGAAGTAGTACTTATAAATCCAGCATAGCAGTCACCAAGGGGCTCACCATAGCAGGAATTCTCAAGCAAGTGGAAAACATAGGAGAGGTATGAGTAAGATGAAACAGCACTACCTCCACATATTCTTATATTCTCTGCCTTCCATTTCCCCTTCTAGAAATCCTTCTTTCTAAATATAACATATATAGACACAATTGCAAGGATTTCATTTGAATTTAATTTTATGATGTAATCTATGATTTTTCTTTGTAGTAAAACTGTCTTCCTAACTACTACATTTATATTAAACATGGTGTTATCTGAAAGCACAATGACTAGGTAGGTAGAAGGGGCAATCTAGATTACCCATAACGGAAGTATCTATATCTTGTTAATAAAAAATATTTTTATGATAATATGGTTTAGAATATTGATCTCTGTCTAAAACCACTGAATTTCATACACCTTTGTGACATCAGACCATAAACGACCTCAACTACCATATTCTTGAAACAAGAATTTATTCAATCTACTTAGTAAAATCTAAATCTAAAACAGGGTAACAAAGAATGAAACTGTTTCCTAAGATTTCAAAATCTCAGAAGAAAGGCAACTGCATATGGAACAGCTTTTTAAAACCTACAGATGATACAACAGTAGATTGTATTTTGCAAGACACTGACAATGAACCTCTCTCCTCAGCAATATATAACTGATTCCATGAAAACTGTAGAAACTGCCAAACATGGAAGGATTAACCCCACAGATAAGTCAACTGTAACTAAAAAAACACAAACAAAAAAACTAAAGCAGTCTCTTCCCTCCCCATTTTCTATCTTTAAATCAAGGACTTGAAGCATGTTTGTGACGGACTATGCTAACAATTCTTATTCTGAAATATAACACATAAGTCAGTACAAGGATTCAGAGTAAGTATAATTTCTGGAGAAAAAAAAAGGACATGTATAATTTATTATAGCTCCTAATACTCATCTAAAATATTTAAAGATGGAAAAATACTGAGTACCTCCTACTTACTGAATGATCCTCTCTCCAAAATTCGAATTTCTGACATCAAAATTACCATTTAACGTGTAAGTCACTTAACAAAATGAATTAGAGGGCCCTCCCTGGTGGTGCAACAGGTAAGGACACAGCACCACAAGCTAGCCAAGCCACTTCAGTGTGAGTTTGATACCGCCCAGGAGGTGACCCACATGGTGCAGCAGACCTCTCCTGTCATGCCCACTGCTCCCCTCAGCAGTGTACTTTGTAAATCTGCCTGTCCTGCTCCCCACTCTGCTCTGGTGAATCCTCTCATCGCTCCTGCAACTCTGGCCTGTACCCCAGTTCTGTATGCATAAATAAAAAATTCTTTAAAAAAAAATGAATTAGATATTACCTTACTTTTTACAAAGCTGTTTATCCTCAGTAGATACTTCCAGTTGTGATATGAAATGTCATTTGACAAAAGCTACCAAAAGAACCTTACTCAGTTCTTTAAAACTAGAGTACTTTATCTAAAAAAATATCAAATGCAATATCACTACCTGAAAAAAAAAACTATTCCAGAAATAACCATTAATTTAAAAAATCTAGAGCTGTTTTCATACACCTAGAATAATACATAATTACCTTCATATCAGCATTCCATTCCAACCTTTTTGAAAAGGAGAAAAAAATAAACAATTCTTTCTGTGAAGGCGCAGCTAGGTATGCAAATTTATGCTAATCATGAGGCTAGCCCCTTTTCCAAGGCTGACAGGAAACAGATAGTAATCACTAAGCAAGTAAAAGATAAATATTTGACATTCACTCTGATATGGATTCTTTCAATCATTATACCTGATGAGCAATGATGATTTCTTAGGAAAACTAACATTTAAAAAGCTTTGCATATCACTATTATTTTTATCTACTTTTGAAACTTCATTTTGTTATTTATCTAGTTAGAAAATGCTCTTTGTGTAATAAAGTTAATCTGTCTTTTCTAAATGCTATAATATTGCAATAATTTATTTCTGCACAATGTAGACTTGTTTTTTGAAGAAGCACTACTGTTCCATTCACACTTGCTCCCAAGATTAGACTTAAGGCAAATAACATTCTTGGCACAATTCTCAAAAATAAACCCTGTCTTGGGGAAATACAGGAAAGTACAAGAAGTTATTTGAATAATTGTTGGGAGCCTTGGAAGTAATATAAAGACCAACTGTAAACAGAGAAAGACAATGATATTATGTGTTTATCCCACTAAATTCTCTTATGATCGCTGATCAAATTCTTCTAAATAGTTCATGCATGCAGGGAATAGTATGCGTGCAACAGTAGACACCGATGTTTAATTATTAAAAATACTGATTGTATCTGTCTGGCATATACGAACCTAGTTCATGGAGTTAACCACAACATGTTAATAGGTGGATTAAATTTATTCGTATGACAATTTTTGCGCTAAGTCTTGGATTCGTTATTGTGATATGTACATGTAGGCTGTTGTAACTAATTTTTGTATGACAGAACCCTGGAGACTAACTTGTCAATTTACTCTCGTTTTCTACTCCAACCTCACCTCACTCCTTTCCTCCACACACATGCATGTCTTCCCCAGTCACATCTGAAGCCCAAGCGCCCAAAGAGCAGTTTTCAAGGATCGTTTCACTGATGTGTTAAAAGGGTCTTGTGACATAGGAGCTGCCTGGGATTGAAAACCACCCCCTTCAACATCCACAGCTCACCTCTAGCTTGTGGTTGATTTGGGACACAGTCTGAGCTTTGTGGCAAAGCTGTGCAAAGCAGGAGCTCAAGCTGGTCATTTTTTGTCGCCCCTCATAAGTGATGTCCGCCTGATCCGGATCGATCTCGCCCAGGAGCAGATCCACATCTACGAAGGCCTTGTCGAACTCCTTCTCCAGCACCTCCAGCCACCGGAACATGGATACTCCGCCAGGGGAGACCCCCACCGCGCAGGAGGCACCTCCTGGGCCCCCTCCGGCTCCTGCCGGGCACTGACCGCCCGCCGACATGGCGCCGTCTAGGGCCTCTCCCGACTGCTGCTGAACCCTGCCGCCCACCCGGCGCGAGAGGAACTGCTGGGACTGCGGGGATCCCCCGCGCGCGCACGCTCCGTCAGTCCTCTCCCTACAGCTCGCGCGGATAACGCCGGCAATGCAGACACCGAGTGGCAGGAGCAGCGAGGCTAAGGCGACAGCGGTGGCACACGGAAGGCTAGGGCCGCCCCATCTCCCGGCCCGCCCCCGCTGCGCCTGCGTACGGAAGACCTGGAGGGGCACAGCCGAAAGGGACAAAGTGGGCGGGGCTAGAATGAGCGCCCGACCTATGAAAGGCCTGTGCTGGGGCTGTCCTGTCAGCGGCCATATTGACAACTGGCAAACTCCAACTTGAATCTCTGAGAGACAGGGCGCAAGGTGTCGGCTTCCTAGTTGGGAAAGGACGAAACAGAAAGCGGTGTCCACGTTGCAGAGAGAACGGCTCCCGCGCGTTAGACTTTATAGGGGGCGGGAACCATGATAAAGTCCTTCGGAAAAGTTGCTGCTGTCACATCAAGGGACGGAGAAGGGAAGAAAGGCGGTTTGGGCATGCGCAATAGCCACGTTTTGCCCCTTCCATTCTAGTTCCTGTTGAGGGTGAGGTGGGTGGGGTGAATGGCCACGCTGGCTTTTCTTAGTCAACCAGGCCCTAAATTCCGGGTGGAAACTGGCTTGAGCTGTATGTGAAGAACAGCAACTGACTAGGTTTTGTTGTGTTGACACGAGATCTTTTGTCTTGAGATTAAGAATCTTGCAGGCGTGGATTCAGGTATTACACCCTGACACATTAACTGTGCCAGCTGAGTGGTAGCATTAATTTAATCACGAAGCTAGTTTTCAAATTTTACTTTGCCCAATAATAAGGTAAAATGCTTAATTTTAATACTCAGCGACTGGCATTCCTTACTACAACGAAGGTCATACTTTTTTTTTAAGTAAAAGGGTTTGCAGAGTTATTTCAAAAACTGGGAGTGTTTTCACAACATGGCATCTTAGAAAAACAAAAGAACCAAATATCCCTCATTATATTGATTGCAGAGCCCTTTTGAGGGCCTAGTGACATAAAACTGAATGAGATATATCCACTGGAGCAGAGTTCATATTCTAATGAGTTTAACCATTGTAACTACAGCTTTAATTTTGCCATTATCTTTGGGAGTGTTTAGCAACTCCTCTTTACCTTTTTGCACACTCACTCAGCCACCTTTCAAGAGTAGTCTGTAGAAAGGGAAGGAGAAACCAGTCTGATTAGAGTAAGCTGATAGGAAGAGTCTCTCCTGAGTTGCCTGGAGGCTTAATTTACTGGCTAGCACAGACTCTTATACATTCAGTTAATGGAACAGACTCTTCCAATTAATTGCCACCAAAACTTGTATTGTGTGCCCCTCCCCAACACAATGTCAAGAAAAAACAGAATTCACAGCGTTAGTTTGCTCTCTAGGTACTGCTGGGCAGACTGGCTAGCATCGGTTTTAATAAAGTTCTTTGACTTTAGCAAACTTAGTTAAGCAAAACAAACCATGAGATCCTTATGTTTTGAGCTTACATAGGTGCTTACATGCAGGTTTTCATACACAAGAAACAATATAAAACTAAAGTTTGTGTGTTTCTTCATTTCTTTCCAAATTGACTTTTATTTTTATCTGCGATATTTGCAAGAACATCATTACTACATCTATCAGACTCCCAATCACTTTCTCTATATATAATATAGTTAGTAATGTATTTTCAGGAATTTTAAATAATTTAAAATTGGGAGGAAGGGCGTTGGGAGGACCAAAACAAAACACATCAGTGAGACTAGTCCATATAAAAAAGTCCAGAGAAAAGCATTAGGAAGGATGTGAAGTGAAAAGAACCCTTGTACACTGCTAATGAGATTGATCCAGTCTCTGTGGAAAACAATAGGGAGGTTTCTCAAAGTATTAAAAATAATTCTACCATATAATCTGGAAATTCCGTTCATAAATACCCAAAGAATGCAAAAACACGAACTGGAAGAGATACATACACTCCTGTGTTGAAATGCAGCCCTATTTATAGCAACCAAGTTATAGAGGCCTTGTAAGGACCCAAAGACAGAAGAGTGAATTAGAAATAATGTGGTGTATACATATATACAATGGAATACTGCTCAACTATATATAAAAATAAAAGGTGAGAAGTCTTGCCTTTTCCAACAACATGGATGGGCTGGAGGAGAGGGAAAAGGGGGTGCGGGGGGGGGGGGAAGGAGTGAGCATAAAAGACTGTGGTGAAGCGTTAAGGGTGCTTTGGTGGTGGCTGTGATGTGGTCACACATCTGAGGAGGTGTGATCCTATGTCTATGAATCACATAGAGTGTTGCGAACCAATGTTAGCACAATAAAAATGAAGTAAAATGAGCTGGGTACTCAGATATAATCAGCATAGTAGTAACTTTCAATTGTTTGAGTATACACTATATGTTAACCAGTGTGCTATTTACTTTTGTGAGCCTCCACAAAATCCTGTGAGGTAACTATTATCACCTTTTTATAGATGAGTCTTAAATGCATTGGTATGGTAAAATAGCTAAAAATCGACAGAGGCAAAGTTTCAATCTCCAATGTTTTAGCTGTTAACCAGGCAGTAGTGAAGGATTAGGAATCCATTTCCTTGTTATATAAGTTACCAGTATAATACATTGAAAAAATTCCAAAGATTTTAAAAATAAAGTTCCCAGTATATGCCAATTTATTAACATGTGAGAATTATGACTCCAAAAATCTTTGTAATTCTCAAGTTCTACTACTTATCCTATCTTCAGTTTATATAGACATTCTTGGAAGCAAGTTTTATTTCTTAAAAAAATTAAATCGACCCTCTCTGGTGGCCCAGCAGGTTAAAGCACAGCACTAAGAAGCTAAAGCCACTTCAATAGGAGTTCGAAACTTGCCCGCCCGGGGAAGTGATCCACATGGCGTGGCAGACCTCTCCTGACACACCTGCTGCTCCCCTCAGCAGTGTACTTCATCGATCTGCCTGTTCTGCTCCCCACTCTGTCGCTGGTGAATCCTCTCACTGCTCCTGAACCTCTGGCCTGTACCCCAGTTCTGTATGCACAAATAAATCTTTTTTTTTTAAATCATTCAACTTCTTTCTAAATTGTATGGGTATGGTTGAAATGCATTTTCAGGGTTTTTTGTTCCTGATGATCGGATCCTTGCTGAATACTCACCTGTTTTCAGCACTGTAGAAACCACTCCTTTTCTATTTACAACTCTAATAAGTCACACCCTCTGTCTCAGAATATTTCTATCTCACATCGTTCCTTCTTATTACCACAGTACGCAGCAGCTGCCACCGCCTTATGCGCTTGCCATCTGGGTTCTACTTCAAATGCTCATGAGGTGTCCTCTTTGTAGATACCTTTTTTTTTTTTTCTGACTTTGATTGGGGTTTTGCAGTCTTGCAAGTCAAATCCTTACATGAACTTGAAAAGCAGAGATGGATGTTCAAGTGCTGCCATCTGTTGTCACTGTGCTCTACCTACAGCTACTGCTTTGTCTGCCTGGTCTGAAATTTGGAATGGATTTGGAATGGTAAGTAATCTCACTACTTGTGGGACTTACTTTCCCAGAGATAATAAACTCATTACATTTCTATTTGAAATAAACTGGAAGAAGTTTGCAATGACTACTCTGTATAGATTAAAATCATCTAATGTATAGATTAAAATCATCAACTTATACATGACAGTCTTGTTTTAGGAAACTTATACCTACAGATTTTTACCACTCTAAATAAGGTAAATTTTTACTCAAAACATTTACCACTCTAAATAATAAGAAAACGGGGGATAAATTGGAAAATTGTAAAAAAAATGTATTTGGTAGCTACAGGTTATTGTTATGTGGTTACTGTAGAGTGCAAACATTTATTGAAGCTTCATTAACTGTAAAAGCACGGTAGTGAATGTCCAATGATCCACCTTGAACTGGGAAAGGACTACATTTCTTAAACTCAGGAGTTAGGAATATCTATAAAATGCACATTAGTTTTTAAAATCCAAGGAATATTTTTCTTAACCTAAAGAGAAAATTTAAGTTAACATGACCTGGCTTATTTGATTTAAAAATCAGCATAATTTAGACTTTTAAATTATTTTTACCTGTCCCTTACTAAACATTTATAAGATACTCTATTTTGTGTAATATATTCAAACCTCAAAATAAAACATAACAAAAGCAATTTTTACAATCCTGTTACTATAATTCCCTTCCACTTTTAGTGTTACCTAATCAACATTCTTCACTTATACTTTCCCACAGCTCCAGCTCCAGGTTTGATCCAACCTTATCTACAAACACCATTTATCAATGGTATCAGTTTATTAATCATTGATTTTTCCTTTTTCATCCACTGTCAATTCACTGTTTATTTTTCAGATTGTCAGACTTTGCTGATCAAACATGGACTTCCTCCTCATTAGCCTGTCTCTTGTGTTTCTCACAGATTACTTCTAAAAGGATCCAAACTATTGCATTCTATATACCCTTCAGCATTAATTACCTTTTTTGGCATTTATATTACAAAGCATACAAATACTTTAAGTTATCTAATTACAATTTTTAGTCTTTTAAATGAACAAATCAGAGAAGTATAGTGAAACAGTCACACCAAAAGCCATGTCTCAATGGTTGTTAGAAGTAGAATGATGTGGCTCCCTGTTGATTATAACTCTCTCAAAACTCATTTCCCATTTGTGGCTTTGGTGAGCAGAGGTAGTAGGGGTGAAAATATTTCTATAGTGGGCATTTGTCACTAAGTTGGGGACTGCCCATATTTGAACCTCTTTCCTCTGGACTTCCCTCCTTTATTTGATTTGGATATGTGTGTTCTCCAATAGTGGACTGAAAATGTCATAATCACTTTCCCAGCTGTGACAACTAGAGTTCAGGACAGACCCAGGCTGAACTAACCAAGATTATTCACCTGAAATGTTTAACTTCATGATAGTGAGCCATTGACTTAATGAGGGAGAAGAAAAAGGGATTGAAGGCAGCAGCAGCATTTTTCAGTAGCAGCAGTGCCAGCAACGGTATACAAATTGCGGTTCAGGATATCCATGTTCTGTGTTATTTTGCTTGTGTCTCTGGCTACAGAGCCTTCCTTTATTCTTGCCATTTTCAAATCTGTTTCTCTAGCATTTCCTATAATTCTCTGTTTTCCCCAATTTTCACTCAGTAATTCATTTTTTACTTAAACTGGTCAGAATTTGTTTCTCCTTCTTGCAACTAATAACCCCAACTGGTAGAACTATCACTTGAGTCTCTCTTTTTGCCCAAGTGTTTAC